AGTATCAAGTAGTACGGTATGTTACATTTTTAGAAAGCTCGTAACAAAGCAAATAAAATAAAAAATTGTTAACTTTCCCACTTAACTCAGTGGCGGCTCGTCAGGGTAGGCAAGGTAGCCGGCGCCTACCCTAAGATTTTGGCAGAATTTAAGAGATTTATTACATTACATTATTTACTATTAAAGTTGCCAATACATAAAAATACTGTTAATACACAGAAGGGTGTTTTAATAATCAATATTATTTTAATATTTGTGGTCTTGTGTATTAACATATTCACTACCGCTGGCGTACGCTGTTCGCTGACTGTGCCGCTGCCCGCTGCCGCTGCGAGAAAACAAAATAATTTTGACCGTTGGAGTGCCTTTGTTCGGCGATCTCTACATCGCCTACTATCAGAGTCGATGCACGACGTACGGCGGTCTTCTGCCTCTGTCTAACTCATCGTGCGGTAGCGACGCGACGTAAGTCGGAGTTGTATCATATTAAGGCGGGGCTTAGGTGAAATCTCCGGTCGCCTTCGCATGAAGTCGTGGAGGCTCGGTAGGCTTAGATGTTAAGGGATATTTCATAAGGAGATATATCACATTTCGTTAAGGGGATATTTCATATGATTCATTATACGTAGCATTTAAAACTTTTATATGAAAATTCAAAAACGTTTAAAGCAAATTGGAAACATTTTTCAGGCTTGTCCGAAATTATTAAAAATGATATAACCGGTTATATTTCAGAACACGCCACAGAAATAAAATAATCCGGAATAAAAAAGCGAGTTATTTTATTCGGTGCAAGAAGACGATACAAGAGATATTACAGAAAAGTCTCAGTGCTATTTCAATTCGATATGTTAATAAAACCGGCTAAGTCAAATATCTTTGCGAATTTTATTTTATGAAATATTAGATAACATTGTTATACATTTAGAAACAAGGTTTGCAGATAGGTATTCGTCAATGTCTCAATTATTATTTTTATTTATCTCTTGCGGATCCGAAATTTAAAGAATCCTATAAAAAAATTCCAAAGCATTTAACATCTGATTTAACAAACTTGTTATATTGATACATTTCCAAGTTCCAACGCATTTAATAGTGATTTAACAAACAAAAAATGTTATTGACTAACATAAATTAATGAATAAAACCTGGAAATCCTGGAAATATATTTCCAGAGGCTTTCAAATTGTTTGTTTTGTTTGTTACTACACCATTTACAAGTACTTGTAAATGGTGTAGTAACAAACAAAACAAACAATTTGAACTTGGGTTGAGAAACATGACATGATAGTAGAGATTCCATGAAAAATAAACGTTTATCGCCACTTGCCTTACTCTCAATCTAAAAAGATTTTTTCACAGCTCTTCAACATTCTCATGATTTTACTGATATAATAATAAATAACTTTTCTTTATTAAGAGACTCATCAATTTAATATATAAAACATAATTATTCTTCCTCTCAATACTACCAATTTTTAAGTTTGCGTAAATAAATACCTAAAATAAAATTCTATGATGTACTCCATAGTGACTTCACAGTAATGGATAAAAAAATAATAGATAAAATAGATTAATAAAAACTATACTTGTACATTATGTCAATCATTATGTCATTACGTTGAATGTTGTTATTTTTGCTTTAGTGTTGTCCTAAATATTTTTGAGCTATGTTTTTAACCCAGAGATAACATATATTTACAAACTGGGCTAGGGTATTATGTAAAATATGGGGGGGGGGAGGCAAATAGACGCAACTAGAATTTTGTCGCCTACCCAGTCACACGGGTCACGAGCCGCCGCTGACTTAACTAAAACCTACATCGAAGAATGTTTTAATGCTAATCACTAAACACTTTCATGGCTTTTAATAAATTGTCCCAGGGTCAGAAAAAGTTACTAATGAAGGCCTTAACACACTGAACTGACTCAGCTAAGAAAATCGAAGATTCTCCCACCAGTTACCATTTTTCTTCCTCTTTAAAAATGATCCAGCCATCGTCGCTAAGAAATTTAAGTCCGCTTCGACATATTTCACTCGTCTAAACAGCCTCCTTACGTATCATATCAGTCAACTGTCATCGATATCTTAAAAACCTCGACGAAAAACTCTGAAATATTACCGCAAATCTGCGACAATTTTATTACTCTTTACGGACGAACATTTGTCAATTCGTAAAGTGTAAAATATAAAGAGTTTTTTGGTATTTTATTTATGAGTTATAATCATAGACATACATGTCTAGAAGATAGACATGTCTAACAAGTACACATTGATTTGTTTTAAAGCAACATAAGTATAGAAGCAAAATGTAAACAAACTGTTGATTTACAGAGAGTATGATTTGATCATAAATTTAGGCAATCCTTTTTTCGAGATTTGACATTATTGGGGTAGGTTCAGGATTTTCAACATAAGCAAATTAATTTACGCCAAAAGAATTTTGGAATTACATTAATAAAATTTAAAAGATATAATAACATAAAATATTATATCTACAGAAAAAATAAACAGACATGTTAAATATCAAATATATCTTAATAAAAAGTAATGTACAACGGACTAGTAGACAGAAAAGACATTCTAATAAATAACACAACTGTGGAAATAGTAGAAGAATATATGTTGAGACAACTAATACAAAGCTCGGGATCTCTACTACCAGAAATTAACAGAAAAATTAAGTTTGCATGGAGTACTTATGGAAGAAACTCAATTATATTCAAATCTAGAATGCCACTTTATATAAAAAAGAAAACATTCGGCCAAGGTGTATTACCGGTCATATCTGCGCATGCGAAACCTGGACACTTAAAACGGACATTATAAGGAAACTACATCGGGTAGCACAACGCTCAATGGAACGAAATATCTGTGAATAACCAAAAAAGACCGTAAAAGAATAAAGTGAATACGGCAAAAGATCCAGGTAATAGATGTCATTGACAGAATCAAATCCCTCAAGTGGCGATGGGCAGCACAACTGGCAAGAAGGATTGACATCAGATGGACCACAAAAATTACAGCGTGGTACCCATGAGGAATTACAATGATATTAGGAAATTAGCAGGGATAACTTGGGCTCGCATAGCCAACAATAGAGAACAATTTACCCAACTGTAAAGTGAGTATCTAAATATGTGAGGGAGGCTACACTATAATTGGAAATGGTTGAATAAGCTGAGAATGATGATAATGATATCATAGATCCTATATTATCTGTATTATCCAGACATAATATACCGGCGCTACTGAAGACTACTGTCCAAAATACTACCTTGTGAAAGCTTGCGTTCTCAGCTTCGTTGTAAATTCCATAAATAATGCACTTTATACGTTACCTTACGTCGAATTTTTGTTTTACTTTGATAAAAAGATTTTCTTACAACGTCCAACCACAGATTTCTTAAAAAATCATAAATCGAAAAAAAATATAAGCATCTAGAGCCTTAACTTTCGATAAACAACTGTGGAGTCACAGTTTATGTCTTTAGTTAATATTCGATGGTAGAGTTATCAAAATGAATTTGGAAAGTCAGAAACTGCCGTATATGATTTTTCAATTTAGAAGTTTTGTTAATATGAATTATTGATACAGTAACAAATAATTTTATTATCAATAACTAGCATGTATCTGCGACTTCGTTTGCGTCGAATTAATCATTTGTAATGGTGATGATAAAGCAACTCAAGAATTTCCATTAACACAAAAACTGGATAAAATTTTCTCACATTTATGTCAGCATGAGAAAAAACAATATGGCGATATTATTATATAACTTGGTAATATTTGAGGGGTAGTTTCATCTCGTTGGAATTTGACTTTCGAAAAATCCGTTTGCCAAAAATAAGCTTTTTACGTCAAGCAGTTTAAGCAGAATCGTGGTTAAGAAATTACCCAACTTTTTGGAACACCCTGTATGATTTTTTTAAAAAATTCAAAATATGTAAAAAAACCAAATAAATTATGCTTGTCCAAGCGTTTTCCCGAAAGACTAACCTTTTTTTAATAACAAATATTGTAATATTTGAGGGGCGTTTTCACCCTCTTGGAATTTGAGATTCGAGAAACTCCTTCTTATCGAACCTCTACATCCCACAGTCAATCCGTTTGCCAAAAATCAGCTTTAAACGTCAAGCAGTTTAAGCAGAATCGTGATTACTCAATGGTCATATTTTATGAAACACCTTGTATAAATTTATAAAAATCTTAAAATATGTAAAACAACAAAATAAAATATACGTGTTTAAGAGTTTTTCCGAAAAACTCACCGGTTTTAAATAAAAAATATTTTAATATTTTAGGGATAGTTTCACCCCCTTAGAATTCGAGTTTCGAAAAATCCCTTCTTATCGAACCTGTACACCCTAAAGTCAATCTGTTTTCCAAAAATCAGCTTTTTACGCCAAGCGCTTTAAGCAGGCTCGTGATTAATCAATGACCAGATTTTTCGAAACACCCTGTATACATTTTTAAAAAATCTTAAAATATGTAAAAAAAAACAAAATAAAATATACGTGTTTAAGCGTTTTCTCGAAAACGAAGGATTTTATATATTAGTATAGATAAAATTAAATAAATCTTTAGGCTACGCGCTGATTTGCAATTTTTATTCGGCCGACTATTTGATTTCAAATATTATTATTTAAATGCAAAAATGAAAACAATACATTCCTATGGAGCCGATGCGATGGGCAGAATTTTATTGCAGGTGTGCGTAGCTCCATAAGAATATATTGGTTTCAATTCTGCAAATAAATAATCGGTCGACTAAAAATTGCCAGTCTAACGACTAAAAAGTCAGCGCGAGTTTTTAAATATAAAAGCCATTCTATAAAGAAAAAATCTATAATTTAATGAAATATAATTATTATACAATAATCGTCTACAATCTTCGTTAAATAACATTTTTTACATTTAGTTTTGAAATCATCAACTGAAATGTTGTTCGATTCTAAAAAGTGTTGGTGAAGTTTTCAAGTTATTCTTTTGTTTCAGCCATGTCCTGACTCACCACCCGAATTCCGAGAGGAACAATGCAGTTTATATGACAACGTACCATACGAGGGTGGTATCTATCAATGGTTACCGTTTTATGACGATGACGAGCCGTGCGCATTGACCTGCAAGGGCAAACCTCAAGATGCTGATGAAGACGCTATTTTGATAGTGGCCAAACTGAAAGATAAAGTACACGATGGAACTAGGTGTAGACCTGGAAGTTTGGACATGTGCATAGACGGAAGATGCCAAGTAAGTAAATTTTCTTTTACATAAAATTATTATTTTTAAATTTATCAAGAAATACTTTTGTCATACTCATTACTTTCGAATAATACAGGGTGTTTCAAAAAACAGGTGCCATCTCTCACGAGGAGATGTCTGATGTAAAAATAATTTTTTTTTCTTGTATCAACATAGGTCCGATTCTGCTTTGTTTCGTAGCTAGAGGGGGTTAAAGTATTTTTTCAGTTTTTACAGTTATTTTTGGTTTATTATAATTTTCTTCCAAGCGATTGTCGGGACCAGTCCAATTCCTCTATAGTAATCAATAAAAGTCTTAAACCTGGAATTTCAATGAATCACTGAATTGAGAATGGTTCAAATTGACATTTTGGTTTAAAAATGCTAATAATACTACGAGGGTTGTCTTTTATATTTTGCATGTAGAGGTAGAAAAAAACTGTAGATAACTTTTAAACACTATTGTTTTTAGAAGTATTGTCCACGAAGAGAAACGCATTTTTGCATGCGTTGTAACCAATTCTGAAAGCAGTTATTCGCTTGTTGGTATCTTTAAAATTTCTTTTTTGGAGGCGCTGACCGCGTTTTCTGTGAACCGGAACCTTTGACCACGCAGTTTTTCATTCCTAATTTTTAGAAAAGTAAAAAAGTCCTTAGGACTAAGGTCGGGACTGTATGAAGAATGATCCTACAATTCGATATTTTCTTGCTTTAAAACTCTGTTGTTTTTCGAGCTGCGTGGGAACTTGCATTCTTTTGGTCGTCGTTGAGGGTTAGTTTTTCGAAACTCAGAAATTACTTCTGGCAAACAAATAAATATGTACCAGTCAGCAGTAACAGTTCTTTATTCTTGCAGAGGAATTGTTGCTACCTGACCTGAGACAAACCCTGGTATAAAACCTGCTTCTGAGACAAATATTGCCACCATCTTTGAGAACGGATAACTTTCGTCGGTTATGGTTCATCTCGGAACACCCAAACAGCCAATTGACGTTTATGTTCGGGTTCATTAGAGTAAATTCAGGATTCGTCATTACTGACAATACTGTATATATTTTTTGAGTTTCCTGTGTTAAACCGGTGTAGAGTTTTTTGATACCAATTGTCTCTAATTCCTTTCTGTTCTTCCATCAACAGATGTGGTATCCAACAAGAAACTAATTTTTTACAGATAATTCTGTATGTAAAATGTTTTGAATTGAGGTCTTATAAATGCCCAGTGGTGGTTCAATTTCACGATATGCGACGTACAACATCGACGTTTTCCTGGGCGACTGCCATTGTTGGTGAACCTGATCTTGGATCGTCGCGTCGCTAAGACTAATCCGTCCACGTTTAAATTTTCCATACCATCGATAAATTGTCGACTGATGCGGTGCGTCATTGCCGAAAACAGAAACCAATTCGGCAAGGCATTCTTGTTGAGCCAACTGTCTTCAAAAATTGTAAAAAAATATTGCACGGACATTTTCTCGGCTTAATTCCATTTTTCGATTGACTCGTCAACTTAAAAAATTAAGTTTAGGTACAGGTTTAAACGAAGCGGTCTAAAACTTTGACGTTAAGTTAACTAAAGATGACAGTTAATTTTGATATTTGATATATGTTGACAGCCGCCTACTATGTTTTTCCAGATAGTGCTAGCAGCTTAGACCGTAAAATTAAAGTACTGCTACTAAAATATTAGTAGCTTTGTCACTTTTGAATTTCTCGTTCGTTCTTTCGAATTTCTGTACCACAGAATGTTAAAATATTGTCAGAAAGTGACGATAACGAAGATTAATTTAAAAATGGTACCCCTCCAGAACTTAAAGAAGCTGCAGAAAGTGCAAAAACTAGAGATATAAGAGGAACAAGTGAGGGAAATGGGTGTGGAAAATGAAAGAGGGAAGTTATGTAATGTGACAGTTGTGATAGAAACAAATCAATGAAATCAATCAATCAATCAAATCATATAAAATCATAAATACTACTGACTTAAAACCATATTTATCAGCAAACTAACTTATCTTGTTTGCTTAAATAAATTTCCTAATAAATTATTACCTATTTAATAAAATAGATGGCAATAATTAAAAATATTTACCTAATATTAAATTAAAAGCATCCATTAACTACATCATTACGGAAACAAAAAGGGGTCCGAAGAAGTGAAATATCGTTAGTCTTATTTTCGGTAAACAATAAGGGCTATATTACAACAAAAGAATAGGATATATAAATTATTTTAAATTGTTTTGGGTAGATTTCCTAAACCAATCTCTTTTCTGTGCGAAATTAACTAATTTTTCTTCTGGGTGAAGAGGGAGATCGCAAGATCATTATAAATATGGTTAATTAAATATCTGGAATAAAAAATAATTTAACTTAAATTAGTTTTAAAGTATGTTTTGAAAAATAAGTACTTTAGTAAATTGTTGTACGACATTTAATATTGGACTACCAATTTTTTAATAAAGTTTTTCTAGAATTATCAATAATAATGCTACTATTATAATCCTATTATATCGATATAAAGATCTATGGAGCGATGCATGCTTGGAAAAATTAAAATATACCACAGGAGAACACATAATACATACATACTGCCATTACTCGCTGACGAATATTTAACACGCATCAGAAGATGGTTTAGGGGTTTAGGCAAGGCGTTTTCTTTCATGAGCTTTTCTGTGACTGAAAAGCACGATACGTGATGTTATCTCTCTTCCGCACTCCAAAAATCTCATTGCTTTATTGTCACATTCAAAAATCTCATTGCTTTGTTGCTCTTAACTGAGTACAATAATTCTCGGTTAGATAAAGATACGGTTGAGACATGGTGTGACGGTTGAGACATTTGATTCTTAATAGTTGTCTTAGGTGTCTCTGTTGCAACTTGTTTAATGCATTCATCTCGGATGTACGGCACCCAGGTTTCGCTTCCATATTATAACATGGTAGGGATTATTATTGCTCGGTACACTACAAGCTTCGTTTTCGTCCTCAAGTCATGATTGTAGAAAACCCTGTCTTTTATTTTCTAGAATGCTTTTGAAGCGCTGCCGCTGCTAATCTTGGGCTGAATTTCAGAATCGATAGTGGCCTTTTCCGACAACAAACTGCCGAGATAATTGAATTCCGCTACATATTCCAATAGTTCTTCGATTTTTATAGCATTGTTGTGATCTTTTGGGGGGAGTGCACATGATTTTACTTTTATTGATGTTCAGCTTAAGGCCCAAAACCTCGTATGCCCAGGTATTAAAATTCAACATTTCTTGTAATTATTGCTGTAACGTTTTTGCAACTAGAGCGCAGTCATCACAGAATACCTACAGTGGATAAGACAGAAGACCCAGGTGACAGACTTGATTTAAAGAATTAGAAATCTTCAAATTGCAACGGTTACCTAATGTTCCTTTTACTAGGTGACTTAACGAGAAATGACGGAAGATAGAATACTCAAAGTTACACAGTAGTATAAAATATAATTAGAAAGAACATAACATTAAGAAACATAACATTAGGAAACAAACTGGTCAAAATGATATGGAAACGAATCACACGAACACAAATGAAAAGATAATATACAAGATGGTATACACAATACACAGAGTAAATTACAGCAATTCAGATGATGCTAATGATGGTTATAACGTTTAATTTCTGTACTTTGATTATTCATTATAACCTACAGAATTGAAGTAAATAAATGAACATTTTACTACCTGCGTAATCCACAACAGGAAAAAGAACAACATAACAGAGCTCATTTTCGGGAAGAACATTCGGCGTCGACATAAACATAACCTTAAACAATAATGCGGCGTAAAAGTTACGTTTACGCCTTCTTCGCGGAGTCAGAACGGGCCCCGCGGGACTGTTAAGTGATAGAAACAAAACGGGCGGAGAAACTCTTAAGGATTACGACTGGAACAGGAGCTTTTCCTTCATCGCTCTAAATTAAAGTTGATACGTAAGTTAAGGTTTTATAGTGGCTGGAGAATAGTAAATATATTTAAAATTAAGAATGAATTGCGGTTATTTTTTCTTCCTTATTTTTCCTGGTTATATGCAAACTAGGAGCGTGTTTTTCTTCACTTCTTTGCCTGCTAGAATCAGCTTATCCATTTTAATATTTTTGCTGTCTTGATTTCTTAATACTCCTTCGACTTACAGAGACCTCTTTCCAGCAATTTACTATTCTATCATCGATCATGTTACTGATCTACTTATTCAATTGACATTTTGGTTTTAATCGTTGATTTTTTTCCTTTTTATGCATCTCCAATTCACTTATTATCGTATGATCAGAAAAATGGCGTCCATTTGGCTTGGAAATGATGACACTACCCATATAATTTTACATGTAAAATGATCTTCATTTCATAGTCATCGCTGACGTCATTTTTTTTAGATCATATTGTATATTGTATACAGTATGTTGCCGAATCGTCTTTACAAGAGGAAACACTTTTTTATTGTTAATATTTTGAGAAAAATACATTCCTTATAAAAATATTTGCGTGTTCTAAAATGTTTATTCCCGTTTTACATTTCCAAATTTTCATGCGGTTTTAGAGAAAAATAAATAATATAATATGAAAATACGATTGGAATTTTTTGAAGTTCCAAATATCAAAACGCGTTTTTATGATAACATCATTTCATTTTCATTCTTTGATAAATGGTTATTTTTAACATCAACCAACGTCATAAATATGTTTTGCTGTTTTTTAAGTATACCCTCTTTCCGATATAATGTCCTATTATCGCCCTGTCCATAATACTGGATAAATTTTGTGCTTATTTAACATTTTTAATACTGCAAAAAATACTACGTTAATCAAAACTAATAAAAACCACTTTTATACTCCGAGAGGCAGATACTTTTTTCGAGGAATTTCATCCCGGCTAAGTTTGATACTGCACGTTGTAGTCACATTCCAAAGGACAAAACCGACCGTCAGCTTCAGCACCAGAGTAGGTGCGAGCGTGGTTGTAAAAATGCGATATTCGTAAAAATG